AAGCCCGGCAGATGTAGCGCGCTGTCCGGAATGGCATCATTCAGCCAGGTTTCCGTGAAACACAGAGCAGCAGAGTTTGAAAAATCCTTGTTTGTCCAAGAGAGCAGAAGTAGTTTGTCCATTTTGTTGGGTAGAGAGTGGAGATTCACCAGATGGATACTAGGCAACAGCGTTCGAAATCTATGCTGTCTAAGCTTCACGAGCGCGCCAACTCGCTTCCCCCATCTGCGCATCCTGAAGCACTTGATCAGCGCCACAGCTCTGCCAACTACAACGTTCAGCAAAACGTCCGAATAATCGAAATCCGGTAGAAGATTTTGTGGTGTGTTCTGCCGAATGTTCAGGAGTTCATCCCTGGTAAAACTGATCGTGTTTGAGAAACAAAAAACAGGAAAAACTAACAAAAACAGTACAAACACTGGGGAGCCAAGCACTGAGGCGGCGCCATCTTGTTCTTCAATCAATATTCCTTTCATGTTCCTGTTTTACATGTTATAGTACATAGATCAATTAACGTCACACGTCATTACATCCCCACGCGACGCCATCCGACATTCCCTCCAGATTTTCACGTATCAACATATAGTTCGTCTTCGTTATGGTGCCATATACAGTTTTAGGCATTTAATTTTTAATTTTACGAAAGCTTCAAGTGCAGTTAATTATTTGTCATGCTATGCGTGCAAACAGACGACTGCGTTGTTGAAGCCATGCTCTTTTGTTTGCTGTCAAACGGTTGACCACTGCCGTGAGTGTATCCTGTCCCAAAATGCGGCAAAAAGTCCTACTCAACGGAAATAGTGTGATTAAGGTGTGTACATGTCTATACTGCACTTCGATAATGCGGCTAAAACAGAAATACTCCATATGACTAAATTCGATTTGTATTTACTTCGAGTATGACTTTAGTCTACATGAGTTGCTTTTAGAATATTCCTTTCATGTTCCTGTTTTACATGTTATAGTACATAGATCAATTAACGTCACACGTCATTACATCCCCACGCGACGCCATCCGACATTCCCTCCAGATTTTCACGTATCAACATATAGTTCGTCTTCGTTATGGTGCCATATACAGTTTTAGGCATTTAATTTTTAATTTTACGAAAGCTTCAAGCTTTTTCATAAAAGCATTAAACTTGGTACACTTGTATAGTTTGTGGACCTGAACATTTTGAGAAATGGAGCCATCGCAAAAACACCTCGTGGTGGCCATGGCGACCATTTTACTGTCCGCCAAACCAAATTATGTATTTTGTGTCATATCTCCTGAAACAAACATGATAACACATAAAAGGTCATGTCGACCCCTATGTTCTGATGGTCAATGATTACAATGATACCATATACAACAACATAAACTTTTCAGATGAACAGTTAATGGTAAAATCAATGAATGAGCATTTACAATAGTCCAGATTATGGCTATTATTATTTTTTTCTTTCTGTGATAACTAATATTTTATTTAAAAATACAATAAAAGATTGTTTTCAAGAATACAATCATATATTTCAGAGATATAAAAAAATAATCTCAGGTAAGCATATTTTTTCTTACCTCTCAGGCAGAGTCAGGTAAGGAAAAGGAAAGGAAAGGATGTTGACGTGTGGCCAAGTATGGTGTCCCACACTCAGAATTTGTGCTTTGCATTTCACCCATCCAAGTGCACACACACAGCAGTGAGTAGTGAACAAACAC